TTATAGGGTATTTTTTGAAATATTTTTGGTATTTTGAATATTTTTCCCCCTCTCAAAAAAATTGTTTGCCCTAATTTTATCAATCCTATCATCTTTGCCCATCCCCTACCAAACAAATTTTTTTTGCCTACCCTAAAAAAAGAAGCTGGATTCGCCCCTGCTGACATGCCCAAATAAAGCAGATTTGAATAAATGTGAAATATGTCATATAATTGTGTCCTACATCCTATTTATGAAGGGTTTTGATAGAATATGATATAACAATTGCACCTTCTTTGTTAATGCTATATTTAAATTCTCCTTATGATCTTCATCAAGTTTGGCCAAGTATACTATTCAGGTTACCTTTTTGGAACTTAAGGGTTGTTGGGCTTGACTTACGTTTATGTTGATTGCGTTTTTAAGTTTAAGTGACCTGGACCATAAATATGTTTTGCTAGCTATGTATATGAAGATAGTAAATTCAAATGTTAATTCAACACTCTTCTACTAGAAAAAAAAAAAATACTGTTAAGAGGTAGTGTGATGCACCTATTGTTTGCTAACATTGATAACTTAGTCTAGTTGGTTAAACTACCTCCATTGATTTCATGGATAAGGGCAAGGAAAAAGGATGATAAGATCATGGGGTCTTGATTGAGTTTGTTATTCCCTGATCGTCGACTTTGAGCTAATAATAATATACCTCCTCTCCACAATCTAAATAGCTGCAAGTAAAAATAAAGCATCATAGAGCTTATATACCTGCTTTAATAAAAGTTCTCTCTTATGATTTAGAGGGTTGATTAACTATACAGGGTAGAACCTATGAGAAATCTTGAACCAAATCATTAAGTCCTTGTTAGAGGTAGTGTCGTATTTAAAAATCTGATTTGCCTTATGAAACATTAAATTAGAAAAACTCAAATATTCAATAGAGGTGGATGTGGATTTTCAAATCCCATAATACTCTCCAACTCTCAATTTCAAAGGGAGTCATGGAAGATTGACCATAAACTTGAATATACTAATCTCCAATTACATAAGTTTTAAAATTGCACCTCACTTTCTGTAAAGCATGAAAAAAATAGAAACAGAGGCAGCCTTGGTAACCATAGAATGAAGCAAGAGAACCAAGACAAACCATAGTAACAATATACCTATTGATTTTCCAAATCAAAGAATTGTAGAAATCATATGCACTACATGATCCCAAGTCCCGTTCCATAGTAGAAGTAGAAGGATCTGGAGGCCATATGAAGTATTGCGAGAGTTCCACATTAATATCCATCAACCCAAAAGCTTAAGTTAACGGGTAAGGGCCACTATTGACATATTAGGAAGCAAATTTTTGTTTCACTTCTAATGTGGGATTAATCTCCATTGTTATATGGATCTTTATCATATTAATCTTTCTCACAGAAGAGTTCCCAACATCAACCAACAATCTCCTTTAAATGGAAGCTTTTTAATGCCATCAAATGTCATGCACCAAGAGTCCTCTCAATCTTGTGGAGCTTATGTTGGCCAGACCTTGGGCCTTTGTCGATTGTGGTATGATATATGTGAGCCACAAACCACATGAAACACTTGATCCCTGCCATACTATGGACTATGATACCACTGGCTAGTGCTGAAGAGTGTGGAACACGGGAGGGCCCAGGTTGAGCCCAACACGTTAGAAGAGGGGCACCCATCAACCTAAAAGCGTAAGGGGCATTACAAACATATACTAGGAACTCAACTTTTATTTTTTTAATATTGGAAATAATCTCCAATCTGTTGTGTATCTCGACAAACATGGCTTTCATACTGTTGATGTCGTATACATATATGAATCACCTTTTTATTCTCTTATTATGACATGGCTATCCTTTGTTTTCTACCATTGTAATTATTGTTATTATTTAAGATAGCTAGTGTATATCTTGCGACGATGTTTATTCTCATAGAAAAATTCTTGTGATGGTATTAGTAGACTTCAACTGGATGAGCATACTCTAATGCAATTTTAAGGTTTCTGCTTAACATACCTTTTGCTTATTTTAATCCAGATGTGGCTTCTTTATTCTTTATAAGCTTGTGAGTTATTAAGTGCTGAAGAAAGTGCATCTCATTACTGAGTGTCGGAGATTTGTTTATTAAACTATATTGAGCTGCTTTGACCATGCGCCCTGTCAATAAAGATACCGAGTTAGTTTTAATCTAACGACATTATAAGAACTTAAAGCAGTACGAGGGAAAAATGATAAATTTGAGCCTTGCTATTGTTAGATGAAACACTTGATGTGAGATTAGGCAAATAGAATGAAATTTCTTAAATTGATGCTTTGAAATAACATGTTTTAAACAATCATAATTTAGCAGAATAAGGTGGCAGAATTTATCGAATGAGGTTGATTCTTTGATGTGGACTTGGAGCTTATTGATGGAAAATTTATTGCATGAGGTTGATTCTTCAAATCAAACACTTCAATCTTATCAAACCTGCAATATTCCAGAAAAAAAGCCTGGCTTTATTCTCTGCATGGTAAATCACATATCTGAAGCAGTTTTTTGACCTGAAATTTTTTTTGCGGATAAAGGAAAATATATGAAAACAATTCTTGGTTAAACAGGCATCAATCTGGTGTTGCCTGTGAGGAAGTATCACGAAGATTTTTATTTGATTAAGCACATTTGTTTGTCTTACCGAACATAGAAATTTTTTTTGGCTGTTCTGACCTTTGCTGAGCTAGAATTAAGCGGGATAGTTTAATAATATATTAACAAAACAAAAGGTAGATTTCAGGAAGTACATATATTTTGATATCTCACCTGTACGGTATGCTTATTTGCCGATTTGAAAAGAGACTAGTCCTAGAGTGCTGAGTGTAAATGTATTTATGTTGCATGTGTAAGAAAGTTTTTATTTACTTGCATGAAAATTCTTCTACACATATAGCTTGCTTATAGTAAATTCAAGCGACGTGGAATAAGGACTGCTGAGTAGGAATCCTTTTATGGCTATTGCTTGTACTCTGTGAGCCTCTACATTGTAGACCTTGATTAAATTTTTAAAATAGCTAATTCTAAGGACTTGCGTGCTCCTGTTCTTTATTTTTCTTGTCAGAATGTAACCAGTAACCTGCATTAATATTTGACTGAATATTCCTTTCATCTACCAATGGTGTATTTTTTTCCACATATTTTACTGTGTTGAAATCGATGTTATTATAACTAGTCGCTTTAATTGTTCATTCACTTGGTTCTTGAAGGCATGGAGTCACTCCATTTACTCCGCTAAAGGGTGCTTTAATTCAAGGTCCTATTTTTATCAGTTTTTTCTTTGCTGTAAGTTCCCCTCCTTGGTTCATTTGTTTTTACATTGTCCAGCATTTTGACTTCTCTTGTTTTTTATCCTTTGGTACTTTTATTCTTAGATATTTTACTTTTTTGAGCAAACTTTTTTCTGGCATTATATTTGAATATCCTTGTATTATTGAAATTGTCTTTCTATATAATAGATTTCAAACATGGTTGAGAAAGTACCATCTTTTAAGGGAGGCGGAGCATTTTGGTTTACAGATCTGACGACTCCAGATCCCATGTACATTTTTCCAGTTTTGACTTCTTTAACATTCTTGGCAACTGTTGAGGTCAGTTTTTTTTTTTTTTTGAATTTTCTTGTTACGGTGATATACTAGGAGATTATGTATGCTGAAGCTCTTGGATGCTGGAAATTTGATTTTTTTATAGTATTTCTGTTAATATATTTATTTATTTTTTAATTCTTCAAGCAATTTTCTTTTAATTGCTTGGAATCTTGTTTTGTTAGTAAAATCATTTCCTCAGTTTTTTTTTCTGGAGTGGCGTCGAAGCAAGAAATGAAAAATCTTGGGCATTGACTGATATACTTTGAAAATACGTAGGCTTGCATTTTTTTCCCTGTTTATACCTTTTGTGCTGGCTGTGGAAGAAATTATGGTCTTTAGATGAGAGGTTGGATTCATGCAAACACATCATATTCTCAAGTTCTTTTTTCACCATCTAATCATCCTTCTCTCTCCCTTTCTTTTTTTAGACGATAGATTTTTTTATAGGGGGGAGAATATTCACTTACTGTTGTTAAACAGAGCGCAACTCGTGTTTAGAAGTAAAACCGTTTGCAGCACTTTGCATCACCTAGGCTTGCTTTGGCATAGCTTTCCTGTGGTGTCATGGTGGTTATACGAAAGGTCAATTCATGACAATTGAAACTGCATGATGACTTTGCCTATCTGCAGAAATAAATCACAAAAAAAGCTGCCTTGCAAACCACACTTCCGGGCATCAGGAAGATCCTTATCACTATGCTTAACAAGCTGTTTGGAATTCAAGTTAGATTGCAAACTCTCTTTCAAGTGGTGAGTTATGAGACCTGGTTTAGAAGCTTAAAGTGTCCCAAGTTTGTGCTTTAATTATAGTATGATAAAGCCACTTTCCTTTATTAATTTTTCATAGGGACTCATTATTTTCTTTTCTTCTGAGGTGTCTCATGCGGTCACTCTTTTATCTTCTTATTGCTCCACCTTTTTTCATAAGCTTCTCCTTGTTCCTTAGATTTCGTAGTTCATTTAATTTTTTTAAAAATAATGCTATAATTGTACTATTTTGAACTTGTGGAAATCAGATTCGGGAGCCTTGAAAATTACGGGCAACGCCCAATAAAATCAAGAAACATTTTGAAAACAACAGCAGAAACACTAAGAATTTCAAAAATCGCTCCATTTGTCCTGAACAATCCCAACCATCTGGTCAATTCAGGATTACCACCAGCTGCTCCATCACCAATTTATGCACTGCAACAAAATGCAATCTGCATGCTGTAGTCCATCAGCTTCTACTTCCCTCCTGTCACGCCGCAACTATCATTTATAGCTTTTTCCTGCCATCTACTATTTTTCTGTTGTGCAATGGGTTTAAAATATTGCATTCATTCCCTACTTTATTGTAAACAATGTTGATTTCATTCCCGTTTTTCCTCGTTCATAGACCTGATTATGGTTTATTTTATCTTCTAGATTACTTTCTATTTTAGGCCCACTAATGGGCTTTTTACCTCCTATAAATTTTGTACCTCTTCTACCCATTGATATATGAAAAAATGTGCATTTTTCTCATATTTTTCAATATGGTATCAGTTCTTCTCTTTCTTGTATTTCCTCTTAGAGTATTAATTCTTCCTCATAAATATCTAATGCATGGATGTTTTTCTTCATTTGGTTTAATCCATGATGATGATTAAGTATGAAATGGCCTTAGAACAAAGTTACTCTTGTGCCACCTCTTACCTTGAATCAAGATCCCATAGGAATAATATAATGGTATCCAAGAAAACTTCTATAATTCGTTGGTTATTCAACTAAAATCAAATCCCTCTATACCTAAAATAAAAAACAGTTTAGTTGTCCAAAAAGTTATGATTTTGAATGCCTTTCAATGTCACTAACTTCTTGGTTCTTAACTTTATTCTTTTGGTTCCTAAACTTTTTTGTAACTTCAATCAATTAAGAAAATTACTAAATATATGAACTGCATAACTAAATTGCTTCCCGCTTATTGTGAATTCCAGGATATGATCTCGGGGTTGATAGTTGACAATGTTAAAGAAAATACTTGCTCCTTCCTCTTGATTGTTGAAGCAAATCCTAAAAGGCAAGTGAAAACACTAAATATATATCTTCCTCTAATGAAAGTATGATAATATTATGGCAATTTTGTCTTGGTCATCCCAATTTCATGTACTTCAAAAAATTCTTTCCCTCCCTATTCATCAATATAATTTTTGAAGTATTCCTGTTTGAAACTTGCTAATAGTTTAATTACATTCAAAATACTTACCCTAATCATTTTGATAAAATCTCACAACATTTTTGCTAGTGTCTGTAGCGACATTTCAGAACATATCTTATGAACAATATCTCAAGTGCTAAGTAGTTTATATCATTTGTTGATGATCATACTAAAATCACTTGGATCTTTATAATAAAAGACAAATATGAAGCCATTTCTATTTTTAAAAACTTTCACTCTTTTTGCAAATCTAATTTAAAACCCCAATTCAAATATTTAAGATTGATAATAGAAAAGAATATTTTCATTTCATTCTTAGATATTATCTCCTTCAATGAGGAATTGCTGACTAGAGTACTTGTATTCATGATCCACAATAAAATTGGATAACATAAAAGGAAATAGACATCTTTTGTATGTTGCTGGATCAATTTTGATCACTAACAAAGTCCCAAAATATTATTGGTTTGAGGTTATTCTTATTGTTGTATATCTCAATAGTCATATACCAGCAAGAATTTCAAAATTCAATACTTATTGTCAAACTTTCTTCAAATCCTATCCTAGAAATAGACTCTTCACCACCATTCTTCTCAAGTTGTTTGATTTCTCTTTTTTTTACACATCTTCCTCCTCATCAAAGAAGCAAACTTAACTCAAAGCAAGAAAATGCATTTTTTATTGGATGCTCCTCTCACTAACAATGGTACAAATGCATTTTTCCAATATTAAAAAATATTACACCATCATAGATGTGACTTTTTTGAAAAATGAATCATTCTTTTCTAAAGGATATTGGAGAAGCTATCGAGTTTTGGAGTGAATGTTATTTATATGCTCCCTTATCCTGGCTGATCGAGCCATCAACATCACTCACGTTTCTTGAGAAATCTCTAATTGATGATGTGCTAATTCATATTCTTTGGTCAACAAAGATAAAGTTTGCCCTTGGTTATTAAATTCAATATTTTTTAAAGAAAATTCCTTCTCAATGTGGACAACTATCAATCTAATCAAAGAACATTTTTCTAAATAAATCCTCCCGCTTGCAATCAAACTGATCATCAAAAGAGAATCGGGAGGAAAAATCTTACTTTGGTCAGGAAAAATAAAATAGCATAACCATATGGCTATAAAAGCCACTAAGAACATCTCTCGGTAACACTCCTAACTAAAATGGAATTAATGTCTCTTGCTAACCCAGGCTTTAGCATTTCCTTTATAAACTTCTCAGTAACATGAAATTCCTTACCAAAAGGATCATGAAGTGTAGCAAAGCGCGCGACATGCGCCTCCCAACATAAGAAGCTCTCAACCCAAGTATGTAGAGAAAAGGTCATGTGACGATTGTGGCTCCTCTTTTTCTATAAACAGAGATGGAAGTAATAAGTCAAACTCTAATGAAAGCCTGAAGAATATAAATATTCATCTCTCCTTTGTTGACCAACATAGCAATAGCTAAAAATGTCATAATTTGGAGGAACACATTCTTTATAAGGATCGCCCAAGATAGGTAATTAAGATATAACTTGTAAATCTCACAAGGTAATAATCATCTCATTTGGACTGATCTAGCACGTGTTTGTAATACTATCCCTATGCTTTTCTATGCCTTGGAACCATGAAATTGACAAGTGGCTCTAAGCATAAATGGCTTGATAAACCCCTGCTTGTCTGAGTATCTTGTGATGAACCTTGAGCACATAACGTGCTCTATAAAGATAACCACTCAATGCCTGGAGAGGACTACCAAATATGGGATCATAACGTTGCTCTTCGACCTCGTGATGTAATAAACGATAACTCAGAAGGTGAATGATACCTATACTACGCTATTGGTTGAAGGACATCTTGATTGCCATATCTCAAACAATCAACAATGTTTTCCAAAGAATCACCATCACTATGTCGTAATCTGAGAGTAACAATCTAATTTGCAGGATCATGTCATACCAGAAGATTCAAATCAAAAGTAGCCATACGTTGAGAACAAATGAAAAGTCCTTAATAAATATTTTTATTGACAAGCATTTATTGATGCCAAGATAAGCGATCTCAAATATGAGTCGATTGAGAAAAATCATATATGTTAATCTCCCTCCAAATTTGCTCTATGGGATCGGAGCAATGCATTAAGCGAGGCCTGATCCTTTTAAACATCTTGGCCTGATAAAAAGATAAAAAAAATTTAAGATAAAAAAAAGGGGAGAAAGAAGAACAATAAATAAGAATGTTCAAAATATGTGAACGATTATTACAATGAAGATATTGTGTGAAAAAAAAATGTAAAATACATTCATTGGGAGGTAATTTGTTGACAATATAATAATAATAATAATAATAATAATGAAGAAAATTTTACTGAAGAGATGCGACTCTAGCCCTGTGCAAAAAGAGAGCTATCATGACTCCAAAGGCAATAAGGCTTCTCTCCCGTCTGCACGAATCCGCTCTCCTTGCGTGGAGAAATTATTGTGCAGTCCGAATGTAGATCTGCAGCCGGACTCCAATTAAATCATGGCACGTGGATTATATACATGAATTTTTAATATATATTTTTTATAACTCATGACCCAACGATCATATGCCTAATTTTTATTCTATTTATTCTAAATCCCTTTTCTTCTACATTTATCCTCCATTGTTCTAAGCATTCACTTGCTTCAAGCAATTTCACTTTTTGGAGCTATCACCTCATTTAGTAATGTTTTGATATGCTAGTTGGTACTAAATATAGTCACCCATACTCACATTGTTGGGAATGCTGAGCACATCATCTCATTTTGAATAGCTACTTTATGCTTCTGTTGAATAAGATATGAATTCAATGTCAAATTTTGATTGGAAAATTTTTGGTCATGTAGAAATTATTTTTTTATACTATTTACCATCCTATCATACATATATTTAATGACTTCAACAGCTATTACAATCAACTTTTATGTTCAGCATGCCATGTCTCAAGTGGCTTAGAGATTAGCATTTTTTTTAATGTAAAAAAGTGAACACCATTGCAGTTGTGCTATTTATATGACCGCTTAGACACTTCGTCTACCCATTCTTTTATTCATACATTTAAAAGTTATATATCTAATACAGTTTACCATTTTATCATGCTTATGTTTAATGAATTCAACAATATTGCAATCAACTTTTATGGCCAGCATGCCATGTCTCAAGTGGCTCATAGATTATGATATTTTTGAAAGCCAAAGTGAATAGCTTTGCAGCTGTGCTATTTAGAGGACTGCGTTTACACTTTTTCTCTTACCCATTCTGTTTTTTATTTTGTCCAATGCTTTTTCTTATGTTCTACTTAAATTCCTTAAGGTCCCTCTAATGAGGTATTTCTTATTCTTGCAGTTGAATATGCAAGAAGGCATGGAAGGGAATCATATGGCCAACACCATGAAGAACTTTTCTAGGGTACTTGCTCTTTTGACAGTTCCATTTACCGCTAGTTTTCCGAAGGTACTTGAATTCAAAACCTTATATAATCTTTCAATGAACAAGGCTTCTGGTGTGCTTATCTATTGCTTCTCATGAATTTTCCCTCACCAAATTTTTTCCATAGAAATATTCTCCTTTTTCCCCTATTTTGTTAGTGAAGGTCTGTCTCCTACTTACCCTGCTAGTTTTTAAGATTATGAGATTATGTAAGGCCATGTTTGAATGTGTTCATTTCTGCATTTTGTTCATTTTTCTTTTCATTAAAAACAAAAGAAGTTTAGATGTTATGCTTATTTCTTTCTTTTTGTTAAAACATAAAAAAATGTGTTTGGAAATGAAAACTGAAAATAAAAATGGTTTCTATTTACTTATCATAATTTGGTATTTAATCCATTATTAGCCACTTATAAATATTTATTATATTAATTAAATATTATTTAATACCTAACTAATATATGTTGTCATCATAAATCACTAATTAATTGTCAACTTATTAGTTTAAATAATAGTGAAAGTAATTAATAAATATTTGATTAGTTTAAACAAAATTCAATTAGTATTCCAAATCTTATTTAACATTGTTTAAAATTGTGCAATATGAGGCCCCCCTCAGCGTAATTCCAGTGAAAAATGGCTCGAGGTTTATAACTAGAGCTTTTTTTTATGATTGTGCCTTAGCTTGGTTGAGGCGTGAAGCGTACACCCCACTCTATATATATATATAAAAAATTTAAACTTACCTAAATCATAAACTAAAGCCCCGAACAAATCACGCATTCATCACCCCAAGCCGCAACAACTTTATCTTGATTGCCTCAACCTCCAACATGTCGCTTTTTCCATAGCTACCACTGTCGTAGTCTCCAACATATATCACTTGAAAGGCACACACCACCACCCCTCTTCTAAAAATTTTGGAGTAATAATCTCATCTTTATGTTGATGAAAAATATTTATAAAAGAGGACGATGATTGAAATAAATGAAGAAGAAATAAATTGGGAAGCATTGGACTCCTTAGGATGATACAGGGGAGAGACTAGTTTGTTATGACGACGTCTAAAATAAACTCCCTCTCAGTGATGATAGTGCATATGATTTCTAACTTGTTGCCGATTATTTTGGCTTTCCTTAGGAATTAAATATGGATGAGTAAGGAATTGAGAAAGAAGAAATTTGGAGTTGAACTTGATGTCATATTATATTTTTATGCAATTCATATATTTAATATTATTTTTCTCTTATAATATATGGATTTTAATTCTATGTTGTCAATTTTTAGATTCTAGAATTATGGCATGCCTTTTGTTTGTAATCAACATTCAAAAATAGTTGTACAAAAGATTCATATGTAAGCTGCTTGTGGTACACATAACTATCAAATGAGAGCTTCTCCCTGACATGATTAGTCTTGAAATTTTAAAATTTTATATTCATTTGCCTTGAAATTTTGTTCCATACATAGACTTCATTTGTAGATACATGATCTTTCTTTCATGCAACTTTAAACCATAATGTTTATTGCATGCGAATTTCTCATCTAAATCACCAAGGCAAAAGGTTGTGTTAATATCCAGTTGTTGTAATGCTAGCTTTTGCATCATAACCACCACCGAATAAATATGGATGGAGCTATATATGTTAGATTATTGGTAAAAAAAGCTTCATTGAAGTGAACATTCACTCTTGTTATAGCCCTTTGTAACTTACTAGCCTTGTATCTATTAAAATTTCCACTTAAGTTCTATTCTTTATGTTTGAAGATTCACAATGTTTTTGCTTATACAGAGTTCAACCAAAAATGAAGTTTCATTTTTATATGAAGATTCTAACTCTTCTATTATATCAGTGGTCCAGTCCTCTAATTCTTTGCTATTGACAACTACCTCATAAGCGGATGGTTCGATACCACCAAGAGAATCTACATGGCTTAAAGCTTAAGCTATCGTGTGAAAACATGAGGAATATTCTAAGGTTGTTTAATATGCCAAATTACTCAACTTTTTTGAGCTTTTCCCTAGTGGAACTCCATTGAAGACTAGACTTCTTCATCTACTACATAACTAGCAATAGACATTGCGGCGATTACTATTTGGTAGTCCTAGCCACTTGTACTCTTTCCTGCTACACTTACCTCTATCATCGTCTATCAAAAAGGGTGAAGGTTCCTGTTGCGGTGTGGGGATCAACAAATCGAAACACACGGTTGCCTTTCTCTTTTTCTGAAATCTACAAGACTTTTCTCTTTTTCTTTGAATTATACTTCTCTAGCCGATTTGGACTAGCTTTTCTTTGCTTGATTGGTTTGGTTCAGTTTCCTGACCCCTGTTCTTTAAGAAATTCTCTTAGATCATCTTTCATTCATTCTTTCTCACATCTTGGTGTTATTCGTATCTGTAAGTAAGGTTTAAATTATTTTGAACTCTCGTAAGTTCTACATTATCTTTCACAGAACAATTTTGGATCCAACTTTTTAAATGGAATTGAACATATGCATTTGCATCATTGGCCATATAATCACAACAACAATAACAACAACATCAAGCCTTTGTCCTACTATGTGGGGTTGGCTATATAAATCTTTTTTCTTCATTGTCCTGTTAAAAGTCAAATTCTCATTTAAACCTAATAAAGAAAAATCATTTCTAATATTATATAACCAAGTCTTTTTAGGTCTAGCTCTACCTTTCTTAATATAAGTCAAATCAAATACCTCTATTTTTCTAACAAGCTCATCAGAAGGCCGCCGTTTTATGTGAACAAATCATCTAAGGCGACTCTCTTTAATCTTTTCTTCCACTGGAGCTATTCCAACCTTTTCATGTATAATGCTCATTTTGTATCCTATCTCTAAGGGTAAACCCACTCATCCACCTGGCATCCTCATCTCTGCAACACTTAACATAGTATTATGCTTCTCTTATAATGGTCAACATTCTGCACCATAAAGCATTGCAGGTCTCACCAACATCTTATAGAATTTTCCCTCAAGTTTGAGGGGGACTCTTCTATCGCACAACAAGCCCGATGCATTTCTCCACTTCAACCATCCAATTTGAATTTTGCTAATAATATCCCCATCTATTGCACTGTCACTTTGAACAATAGATCCAAAATATCTAAAATGTGTACTCTTATTAATCATAGAAGGTTTTTTATTTTATTTTATGATTACTATGGGATGCTTGATTTTGACATATTTATTCTTTGCAGGCCATTTTCTGTTACTGGGTGACATCGAACCTTTTCTCCCTTCTCTATGGATTTGGTAAGCAAAATTAAAAAGCTTAAATGACAAATCTCTCTAAATAATAACTGCTATCTTTTCACTCATAAAACAGCACTGAAGCGCCCTCCAGTGAGGAAGTTCTTAGATCTTCCTGAAGCCGTTCCCAAGCTGGAACTGGCATCGCAGCCCAATTTCTCCTTCTTTGGCACATCGAAGCCAGTTCTTCCTACAGCCTCTCCTACGCAAGAGATTGAATCCACGCCGGCTAAAACCCCAGAACGAAGGGTATCTTCATCTGCTGCTATCAGCCAGCGCATCAAGAATCTTGAGAAGAACGTTAAAGCCAGAAATAAATACCAGAAGAGGTGAAGACCAACTGGAAATTTTGGTTCGCGTCATAAATTATACTCTGATTCCTTTTCATATTCTTAAAGACTTTTCGTAATTTTAACTCTAATTTATTAAAATGTTTTAATAGAGGATATAAGATGTCTTAAAAAAAATAAAGCTTATATATCCTTGACTTAGCTCGATTAGTTTGCAGCCCTATTGATGCCATATCATTTATACCTAAACCAGCTGTTGTTTTATGTGAGCAAAATTTCTAAGGCAACTCTCTTTAATCTTATCTTTCACTGGAGCTACTCAAACTTTTTTGTATATAAGTTCGTTTCATATCCTGCCTTTAAGAGTAAAACCACTCATCTACCTAAGTATCCTCATCTTTGCAACAATAAACTTAATATTATGTTTCTCTTTTAATGACCAACATTTGGCACCATAAAGCAATATATTTCATGTCAATTAAATTTATTATTTTTCCTTAAGGTTTTGAAAATTGGATCAGATAATAAAAAGAGGAAGGAGGAGTTCACAGTTCGACCGGTTGAATTGGGGTCGAACTAGATGATTTAATCAATGGTAATATTATTTAAAATTATAAAATAAATGGGAAATATTCCTCTAATACTTTCACTCTACATTCTACTTTCATATCAAACTAATCAAAAACTTAAATATGACATCAATTAAGTTTATAAAACATAAACAAATATCTCAATATAAATATGACATCAAGTAAGTTGATAAAACATAAACAAATATTTCATAAATAAGTAAATAAATTATCAAACGACACACCTTGTGGCTCCAGGTTCTTATATGAGGTGATTTTGCCATCCTGTGTCTCCCAGTTCTCGCACAAGATGATCAAAAAATATTGTATTGGATAATGCATACCTTTTGTCGAGCTCTACTGTGCGTTGGGTGTTATGGAATGCATACCATTTTTAGGTCTCTTTCTTTAACATGTGAAACTGTTAAAAAATGAAATGAACAAAAGAAAATAAATCAAAACATATGACAAAATAGACAATTAATAAATATATAAAATAGACAACATATAACATACCTCTTCATAATTTATAGCAAAATTGTGATATTTTATACTAGCTGATAAGAAAAACTCAAAACTCATAGGGATAATAAAGTCAAAAATTAATACCATAGAGACAAAAAAATAATAATTAGCATTCAATTGTTTATATTAGTTTACAAAAAAAAAAAAACACTCAAAACTCAAAACACTCCTAGTGAATTTAATATATAATCATCCACTAAATTTGTGTGATCAAATGATATATTCTTAGACCCTCCGCCAAAATCTTGCATCTCAAATGCTTCTGAATCCTCACACGGTATGTTTTATTCATCAAATAATTTAACTAAGTTGTCTTCATCTGCAAACCATTCATATGAAATAATAATTCTGTATAATATATTACACTTAAAAGATATAAGTTAATCTACAATCGTACTTAGGGTTTGTCTAGTTAATGTTATGTTTGGTTCTATATCTTTAGAAATTGCATCATCTTTATAAAATTTCATCTCCAAGTCTTCTAGATTCAATTTTAGGACTGGCTCATCATTAAGTATCCAAAAGTCAATAAGTTCTACTAGCATTTTCGTGTCATTTTTCCCTTTAAACATCTAATATTCCTCATGAGTATCTCAAATAAAAAGTTTCCTTTATTTTTCAAATTTCAAATGAGTTGTAATACATTCACTTCTAATATGAGTAGTTGAAAATTTTTGTTTTTCACATAGCTTTATAGCAATCAATGGATGTGGCTCATAGAAGGGAAGAAGCATAGTGTCGTGGGAGGTAGGAGTAAACCTCATCTAAAATATAATTATAATATTAATATTTTCTTGAGAATAATAATGAATTAAATTAATTAAATTTAATTGCATAGAGATTAATTTTTATTTTATTTAATTGAATAAAACATATCTAGATCATTCCAGGTGGAGTTTTCTTTTAATGAAGTGGTCCTAATGACTTCAATAAGCATCACAATTAAAGTGGGAGAATTGATTGATAGGAATTTCTCCTTTTTTTTTGGTTGCGATGGAGCTTGCTTGTGTTTTCCTATTGGCTTCTGAAAAACTATGTTCAATGGATATTCCTCCATAAAATTAAAACCCGAAAAATAAAATAAATTAATAGAACAAAAGTATAAACAGAACAATTTCATAATTATTAAATTGTAGACTCCCAACTGGTTAATTTATTAGTAGCTAACACAAGATTAATAATCTATAAATCTTACTTTATTTTTTTTCAAACGACAAAATAAATTGGAATACATGAAATAAAAGGCCATGATTGAAATAGTAGGAAAAAAAATGCTGAGAAAAGAAAAAGAAATCAAAGCTAGAAAAAGAAACACATATTTATTTTAAAAAGGAAAGATATATGCATCCATATAAGAACAACCACTGCAAAGAAAATAGAATATTTGGTCTCACATCTTACTATCGAGTGTCGATCATTTGCCTCGCTTCGAATTGGAGTTGGGAGCGGCAGTCGGAGGAAACCCTATACATGAACAAATGAAGAGGCGAACAAACAAAGATTGGCAACTTGGGAGGGAGAAAGAAAGAAACGAAATAGAATTACGGCTTAGGATTATACAGTACCAAGTCAATCTCGATCGTTCATGTTTCAATCCAACGCCTACGTTTATGTTATTTTTTAACCAGCCGGTTCGATGGTTTCTTGGTTCAACCGGCGGTTTGTCCGGTTTTTTTCCCGGTCTAATACTACTCCGATTTTCATGATTCAACCCCAGTTCAACCGCTTGAACCGGCCGATCCGATCTGATTTTAATAACTTTGTTTATCCTATTTATATATAGGTGTATTTTATTTTATTTTAATTTTAGGAAAGAGCACAGCCTTTTGAGTAGTTAGTGTTTGACTTTGACATGTTTAAAGTTGTGTATTATTTGAAGGACTACATATTTAATATTTTGCAATACACCATTTGTTAGATGTATGTTTACAACAACCATCATAAATGAGAATTAATTTTTTTATGTAAGCAATGTACTTCTAAAAATACAGCCTATGTTTTTTTAGTAGAAATTCTTAAATTTTAATATTATGTGGAGCTATCAAAACCAATAAGAAAATAAAAGAAAAAGTATTTTTTTTATTTCACTCAAAGATATTAAAATACCAACGTCGAATCAAAGATTTTATTTAGAATGACTTTCTCATTATTTTTTAAAACAATTATTTAGTACAAACTTTAAAGCTGCTTTAAAAATAGTGAGAAAGCGGTCTGAAACAAAACCTAATAATATTTAAGATAATTTTTTTTTTCACTATTTTGAAGAATATAAATAAAGTACTAAGTCCAACACTGATGGTAACCAAACAACGATGGTGATTAGAGGGCATTGCATGGCAAGTGATGGGCGATGGCTAGGAGTGTAAACAAGTTGACTCGAGCTTAAGTCATGGAAGGCTTGAGCTTGACTCGTCATTGAAATTAACATCTCAAACTCGAGCTCAAGTCAAGCCCAGGAAACAAGCTCGAAATTGGCTTTAGAGCTCGACTCGATAATAGCAGCCTTATTTCTGCTTCGCCAAATGAACTCATGGACCACGGTGGAGCCGAACAAGCTCATAGATCGCGAGCATACTTTGGTGAAGAGACTAGATATGGGGTTCTAAGAGCATCTCCAATGGAACTCCAACGCTTGAATGTCGTCGCCCCGGAACTCCAGCCGAACGGTAAAACTTCCGCTATTTTCTTGCAGGTGAACAGTGAGATGTCAATATTGACGTTGCACTATTCATCATATCTATTTTTTTGCCTCTACCGAACTTGCCAAAGAACGCACGAAAGAAGAGAAAGATCGTTACCTTCACAAAATGGAGTTCGAGTGAAAATGAAGCGGCATTTTTAAGTTTCAAGACATTTTGGAGTGAAAAATACGAGATTTTTCGTTGGAGATGGTCTAAGAAAAAGAAAGATGTTGGTGCAACTTTTTCTTTTTTCCTTTTCTTTTTCTCCTTGAAAAAACTGACAATAAGTTTTTTTTGGGTAAATAAGTACAACAAAATTCATGTGCTAGGACATTTTCTTTTAAAAAGCTGCTATATTATACTTTTAAATATTTTTATTAAGCATTTTTAATTTAAATAATGTTTTAAATATTTATTGCAATTGAAAAAAGAAATTTAATATTCATTTTATTTAAAATGGCTTGCAAGCCGACTAGCTGAGTTTATTCAAATTCGAACTCGAGCTCGTTTGATATTTACGCTCGAATTTGACCTTGAGTTCATGGCTCAATAAATTTGACTCGTAAGCTTTCAGCAAGTCAAATTCAAACCTGTTCGACTCACTAACACTCCTACCGCCCCAATTAAGATGGACTCACACACAATATATAAACAAGACTCAAATCTCTTAGTCGATACCCTTAAGCTCTCAATCAATATACAAGTTCAGCTGTGTTGCATTTCTAACCTTGGTTAAACATATATATCTGAATCGTTTTAACGAAATTACTGCAAGTCTGCGAACCAATCCCACCATAAAAGATCTCCTTCCCCTCTCCTCGGCTCCAAATCGCGCACCACATGTCGAAAGAAAGCGCCATTGCCGATGCCAGTCCCCCCTCTTCCTCCACCACTACTGGCCAACCAGCAAGCCAATCAGGTATTCTCTGCGTCTCTTTCTCTCTCTCAGATTTCTTATTCTATATTCCAATGCCGATCTGTGAAATGGGGGCAGGTATGGTCAAGAATCTCGCGATAGCAGCGTCGCTGGCCATCGGACTGGGAAGTTGGTTCTATACAGCGATCCAGCCGCCGAAGCCGAGACTATGCGGGTCGGAGGGAGGCCCGCCGGTGACGGCTTCGAGGATCCGATTGCGGGACGGTCGGCACCTGGCCTATGAGGAGAAGGGAGTGCCTAAGGACAAGGCCCGTTTCAAGATCATCTTCTGTCATAGCTTCTCCGGCACACGTCTTGACGGTATCCGAGCTTTCCCTGTAAGCATACCCATCCCAACTCCGACTATATTTTGGAATAGAAGCGTGTAAACCGCTTATTTCTGTTTTTGTGCATTTGAATTGATTGATTCGACTAAATTTTGGAATAGAAGCCTGTAAACCGTTTATGTCTGTTTCTACCTCATTTGAACTGATTGCTGAATTCCCTTCAATACTAGATAAAGTAAAAAAAAAAAAAAACACTCTCGGCAGTGCTAGCGGCTAATTAGTATATAGAAAGAATAATTATCACCCCTGAAGTTTATAGTTAGATTCATCTGTATCAAATAATGATATGCCATCCAAAAATGACTCGGTCTAACACAAGTCTCAATGTATATTTGAATAAGAAGTTTTTTCAAATTTAAAGCCATTCAAACTTCAATTTTAAAAAATTTATGGATGATTTGAATGTCTCGACAATATAAGCCCATTGGTACTAAAATTTATCCAAGTTGACTCCAAACTAAAATTGAACCAATCTGACTCCAAATGTGCTCAAATCAAATACTTGCACCATAATTAGAATATTTAGGATGTTAATTGAATAATTAAACGACCTTCAATATGTTTATAATCAAACTGAGCATTTCACTGAGAAGAATCTAATGATCCAAATATCACTTAATTATGACATCATCAAGACGCTTAAATGCTGAAAGAATATTCTATGATCGAGGAAATCAATTCGGATAATTTGATGGAGTGTTCTAGATTTTTATATTTATAAAGCATTTCACTCTCAAAATTTATTAATAGATCCACTCTTTATATGAGGAGACTACTAGCTTGAGATTGAAGAGAGCTTAGAGGCTTAAAAATTCTCGAAGCTCAATATGACTACCGCCTAAACTGTTGCACTCAGACCACTGCATGATCGTTTCCATCAAACCTATTGCCTAACCACCGCCATCAAATCACAGTTGCCACCATCATCAAGGTGTTGCCGTCTGACCTTTAACTACCATCACCTAAATATAATCCTCGAACTATTGTCAATTGATTATTTTTCCCCAACCACCGTTGTTCAACTATGATTCTCTGATTGTTATTACCCAACTAAGATCGTTTGACCTATCACAACTCGACCTGATATAAATCACAAAGAAAACAAGTCATTACCATGTCCTATGTTGACAGGATAACTTTCAGGACATAATTGAAAAGAACTATAGAAATTTCAAATAATTTATAGACTATAGAGCTAATATAACTTCAATTAAATATAAAGACACTCCTCATCAAAAATTTTTTCATTAATTTTAGAAATATTTGTAATAAAATAATTTGTACAAATAGTATAAGGCATGGATGTTACAAATAAGAATATTTTTCCAAATCATTAAAATTGTGTATTTCTAAAACAGTACGGTGAAAATTCATAAATAAAATTTAAAATATGCAGAATCTTTCTAACTACGACATACCAAAAATTATATGGTGAAATTTAATCCAATAAACATATATACTTAGTTTTGTGTTAAAATTTTAATTAAATGTAAGGAAAATACAAAAATTTTTGAATTATTAAAAATTGAGATATGTAAAACGTAATCTGCCTCAGCACTGATAATTTCTTGAACTGCCTTGATGGGTGAAGTCAACTTGAAGCCATCCGAAATAGACTTTCTATCTTTTCTCCTCTCTAACTAGTAACTCTAATGGTGGAAGTGGTTTTGCAAATACCATTTTGAGTGGATCTTGATATTTATAAAATATTTGATGGTAATGTTGTGGCACTTACAAACCCACAGAGAACATGGTGCCTTAATGCCCCAAACCAATGCCGCAGTGTCCCCATAAATGACTAAACTACGAAAAAGAGCTCAACACCACAATGCTGCCAACTAGAGCGTCGTGATACTCCTAAGAGAAAATTTCAGAATTTAGATTTCACACTCACAGGCCCGTGGGATGCACTACAGAATAGAATTCATACATTCATAAACATATAGATCATTCACAGACGTGCGGAATAAAAATGCATAAATTTTAAACATACAAAACATACCAAGTTGGATCTTGACCAATTCAGAGCACTGTAACACTAGGTGTTATGATCTCTCATCCTCAAAAAAATATTGTCCTCAGCATTTCAATATACAGATTGGTCAAATAGATCAAGATGTAACCGTCTCATCTTATATTTCTTCTCTTAGGTGGTTTATCTGTCAAATCGGTACTTCTACTGCACTTTAACTAATAGAATCGGTTTATTCTCTAATTTCTTATCTTTTTAGGTTCTTTTATGTACCTTAGATTTGGCTGTACTTCAACTTCTTTTTTAGAAATTTTGCTTTTTGCATCAAATACCCATTTCTTTAAAAAGGACACAGGAAACACATTATAAACTTTAGACAATTCTTTCAATAATTTAATGTACCTTGGATTTAATGTACCTTGGATTTAACTTGTCTTCCTTACCAAATCTGATTATTCCTTTCATCAGACTTAATTTCAAATATATTAAGTTTCCAATTTAAAATTCTATGAGCTGATGCTTTGAGTCATAATATTTTTTTTTTTCTTATCCTGTGCAGATGTTAACCTCTTTAGGATTAGATGAATCTTGATAGTGGAAGTGAGAAGGATCTTCAATTGCTGGAAGGCGGCTTCGCATTATTCTCCCCAAGAGAATTTCTTTGTGTTTCTGAGAATTTTGAAGAAGGGGAGCATGTGTCTTCAAGTCGAGAGATGAAACGATTGAGTCTAACAATTTGCCCAGTGAATCGTTGGACTTCCTTAGTGGCTTTGGGTGTCTTTATCTCTAGTATTGCTTGCACCTTTTTGGGGTTGACTCGAATTTTGTTAGGTGTTAGAAGGAATCCTAAGAATTTCTCTACCCCAACGCTGAAGATCCATTTAAGAGGATTCAGCCTTATGTTGTTTTTCTTGAGATTGGGGAATGCATATGACTTTGATGTTTCTTCACTTCTGTTTCTTGAAGACTTTGTTCATCATTCTTTGATATGTCCCTCTGGCATTTTTCAGCCCGAAGCGCATGTCTTTGTAGCAGTGTAGACCTTTCGTTGTAATAAATGTAGTTTTTTCATTGTCATCGAGGTGCATCTTGATCTGGTGGTAGCCTAAGAAGCCGTCCAAGAAGCTCATTTTCGGATATCCTACCGCGGAGTATACTAAGGCGTCTATCCTTGGAAATGAGTAGCCATCTTTGAGGCATGCTGAGTTTAGATTGGTGAAGTCTCACACATCTATTTGCATGCTGCTTTCTGTACCATCACTACATTGGAAATTAAATCCATATATTGGACTTTCCTGGTGAAGTTGGTGGTGAGTAGCTTTTCTACTTCTTCTTGGCACTTTATTCAGCTAGGGCTTTCCCTAGTCGTCGCTCTAGATCGGCAAGAACGAACTCTTTAATCTTCTTTGCTTTGATTGGGTCTTCCAATAGGTTCCGTAAAGCGGTGACACTCTTTGGTGTCATATTTGTGATCTTTGTGGAATGCATAGTATCTCGTGGTATTCCGAGCACTGTTGATCTTCATAGGCGTCGGGCGCCTAAAGAATTTTTTGTTTTGTATGGTCTCCACAAGGTCGACCATTTATACTCTTAGCGGAGTATAGATCAGATATGTTTAGGTTCAATCAGCGACGTTTTTGTGTACCTCATGTCTTGGTTAAACTAGCATCCCATATAGATTGAGGTGTTGATGTTTGCATTGGAAATTTGATTTTTGGTTTTTTTTTTTCCTGGGGATGGATTCTTTCCTTGTTTCTTCTTGGATGGACATTTCTTCTTGTGGCACTCTCATGACATCAAGAAACTACGGTGGGTTCAGCCACTTAGTTGTACTATTTGGCATTGATATGAATGTTAGCAAGTTCCAATAGTTCTACCTGTCTTTGGCCGATGTAGTCTTGGTGCGTATTTGAAGGGTGCTTCCCTCATCCCTTGGGTCGGAGTTGCTTGGGCGATTGCTGGCTCTAGGTCTTTCATGTCGAGCATTTCCTTTTATAACCTCAATATGAAGTCCTCAATAATTCTCCATATTCTTCTCTCATTTTGAGCTGAATCTGCAAGCTCATAGGGGTTTATGGGAGCTAGCGAATTGTATGACTAAATTCACTTGAATTCAGTGAAAGAGGTAATCACCCCACTGGGTAGTCGAGTGAACCACCTTAGTGCCGAGTCTTTAGAGGTGCTGAAGAAGAGATGACCTTAGTGTCAAGAAGGGAGATCATGGACTGGAATGTCTCTACATGGCCCGTGGGGTCAGTCTTTCATCAGTAGGCCTCCAGGTGAGGCACCTTGAGCTTGGGAGGCACTCTTACCTTGATGATTGATCTGGAGAAGGTGTTGGTCGGCCTTGGTTCACTATCTTTGGCTTGCGTGGCAGGTGGGCCGGAATTCTCATTTCTCGCTTGGGGGCGAGCGTGGTTGATGACTGGATCGGGGGCATGTATTTTTTCTAGAGGCTCGCAGTGAGCATCGGGGTTAGATGGTCCTTCTGGTGTGTTGGTGGTTCATGCTTGGAGAGCATACTGGATGGACATTAAAAGTCGCTCTTCCATTTCTTGCAGTATGCGATTGCTGGTATAGTCGAGATTCATCATGTTCATTAAGGTCTTTTGTTGTTTAGCGGGTAGTGATTTTCTAGTTCATGGCATCAGATTCATGCTCATCGCACCTAAGAGGATGTTAAATTCAGATTTGTTCGGTGGATGATGCTCGACCATACTTTATGGGTCTACCTGTGACCTGAGGACCTATAGGTGAGCATGCTAAATGCTAAGGGAATAAAAGAAGGTAGAAGATGGATTTGGATAGAATCTTTATTATCTCAGCCAAAAATACAAGAATACGAGGAGCAAGGCTATCTTGCAGAGCTTAAGCTAGTAAAGGAAAGACTGGCACAATGTCTCTTGGTTTATCTCTTTATTTTGGCATGTTTCCTCCTTTGTTCTCTAGTGTTTTCTAATGTCTTTTTGTGTGTTTTCTTCTATCCCCCTCCTATTTATAGTGCTTAGAGAGTTACAGTAGAATATATGCAGAATACAGACGTTATACTATCAATCTTTGATATAGCTTGACCATCTGTGCCGAGTGGTGTGCCGATCTTGTGAGAGATAATGCGAGTAGGGTGAACCCGCGAAGATATGGAGATCCAATCGGTTTTGGGTAGGAAGTTGGTTTTATGTTGCCCTGTTGGAGTGAGAGAGCTCGGAGAGGTGAGTAATGAGCTGACGTAGATCATTGAGCTCGGTGATGATTCGATTATGAAGTATGTCTTGTAGACGAGATGTGTGCCTTTAGCTTGACTTTTGATAGGTCTTGAATAGAAGACTTGACTTTGGTGTAGATGAACAAATACTTGTTTGACTAAGAGAGGAACTTTTGTGCTCGCCCTCACAGGGAAGGGAGATTGCTTGGAGGATGTGGCCGAAGGTGGTCCGACGTGCTCTAGTGATGAGCTCATTCTCAGCTTTTGAGAGAGTCCCTCGAATGTGCTGTCCTGAAAGAAGAGATAATTTTTCTTCCGTGCAACCCAAACGTAACCTGTAAGATACCTGGGAGAAAGATACCTACACAAGTAGTCATTGGTGTACACCTTCTAAACTTATGGGAGCTTCTTACGTAGGCTAATTCAAGTCTAAAGGGAAGCCAAGTAAGGTTAAATTTATGTTGACAAAGGTTTGACCCTAGTGGTCTTCTTGGCTCTTCTAAGGGTTTGAGCAACTATGTTAATGTCCTTGAGATAGATAAGAAAGACTACTAGTTCCCACAAAAATGGGTTGGCTCAATCTCAAATGTGGGATGGCAGTCAAGGACTAAAATTCAAGATAAAAGATCTTACGGTGCTGAAAGAGATGAGCACCATGCATTAGATTATGAAATACTTGACTTTGATATCACTTGATCTGACTACTTGCGATTCATAAATAAGGATCTTACGACATAACCAATAAGCAAAACATAGACTTGAAGGAAAGTCATTTTACTTTTGTTTCACCCCCTGAGGCTCTTGGCCACCCGTCACTCTCAATTTGACAGGTTCCCACTTTTTCCTAGTCAAGTACTTGTGCTTATACATGTATCTTGTCCTTCACTTCTTCCTTGGTAATTCGTACATGGAATAAGAAGAAGCTGGGAAAAAGATTCAAGTTTGTTAGAATACACCTAAGAAAAATGGCTTGATATTTTCAGTTAAGAGAGGAAGAAGAGCATTTGGGGGATTATTTAGTAGAAATCACACCTATAGCAAGAAAAAGGTGCTTTTTTCATACTCAAAACAACAAAATTTTCTTGATTAGAAAGAGTACTACAAACTCGAACTATGTCTCAATCATATGGGAGTGGATGAGGGCGACAGGGCAGCAATTACATGTGGATGAAGGAACACCATTAAAGTGCATGAATATATTATTGAGAAGTCAATGATTTTTTCTTCTCATAGTAAAACATACATGAATATAACTCTTCTTGAGGGAGAGAGTAGGGAATGTCAAAGCCTAGGCATGAATATAACTCATTTACGCCGGCCCAGGAGGGGCCGGCTGGATCGGTCCAACCCGGACCGGTCCACTGTTACTCCAGGTGGAGAAAACAGGGGGCGGGCGGAACGTGATGTCCACGTGGATGCTTGGGGGGAGGTTTAGGAGGGAAATTTTGAATGTGAGGGCTGTTTTAGGAAGTTTATTATTGTCCTTTATGATTAATTTTGTATAATTAGGAGTTTGGGGGGGAATTTGCATCTTATCTTGAATTTGAATTGTTTTGAGATCGAGGTTTTGGTGTCTTAGGCTCTTGGCTTCGCCGGAGATCTTTTGGAGAGTTTTTCCTTCCTCTCGAATTGAAGGAAAGTTGTATCTTGCAAGTGCTTTTCATCCGTTATCGAAATAAAAGCGTTTGTATTGTTTTTCCTACATTTTCCAATGTTTCTTCTCTCTGTTTTTGGCTGTTTTCTTGCTGTGGACAGCAGTTCATCCTAGATCTACTTGGGTTTTGGTGTGAAACACTTGGAAATCCAAGTGTTTCCTATTGGGAATGCCAATTTTCAATTTTTTTTTTATATAAAACAACACATAAGTCAAAATTAACTTGTAGATCCACGGATCACAAAATGTATATAAAGAGTGAATCTGATCTCGATACAAGCTGATTGGCAGCTATTGCTTATTGCATAATGACATTTGCCAATCAATCTACCAGGACATCTGTTTTATGAGTTTTAGACAGATTGATGTGGCTTAGAGTTGATAGTCATTTGTTTCTTTAGTTTATGCAGTCTTAAAAGTGAATTTTGATCATATGAGGGTTTGTTTGGAACGACTTTTTTATTGCTTCTTAAATCAGCTTTAAAATTTTTGTGCTAGAAAGCTGCTTTAAGAAGCAGTAAGAAAGCTGTCCCAAATGAAGCCTAAGAATGCAATCAACTTGTCATCATTTGGAAGATGAATGCAAATACTCTTTTTTTGTGTGAAATAAGTTGCACTTCAAACACTAAAGGACCCAAACTTGAGAAAAGCTTTTGGTTGGTTTTGCATAAGAAAGTCTAATTGATTTAAAATTTTTGTTTGCTTCTACGAACCCCAAAAAATTATATATTGTTTTTGGCAATATTTTAGTGATTTCAAAATGCCATGTTGTGGGTATCCCATGCCCAAAATAACAACTCGATTGCTTATACGATCGACCAAGCTCTAGATTAGTATCTCAAGCGCTTATTTGATAGTTTATGTTTGAAATGTTTTTCCATGCATTCTATCGTAAACTATTCATCAGACCATTATTTTAGAGGTCTTTCCAAGCCTATGGATGCAGGAAACAATGGAAGAGCTGGGTGTGTACTTGGTGAGTTACGATCGAGCCGGCTATGGCGAGAGCGATCCAAACCCAAGACGGTCACTGAGGAGTGATGCATCTGACATTGAAGAGCTCGCAGATGCCCTGGAACTGGGCTCAAGATTCTTCCTTATTAGCCTCTCAATTGGAGGCTGTAGCGCTTGGGCTTGCATCAAGTACATCCCTGAAAGGTGAATTACATTCTTTACAATTCCTTCCAAACCATCACAAAAATGTGGCTTAATCTCATCGTCTTCCACACATCATACTACCAACTATTTTGAGTTTAGGCTCGCCGGCGTTGCACTTCTTACTCCGGTGATAAACTATCGGTGGCCCGGCTTTCCAAAAAGCTTATTTCAGGAAGCTTACAAGCAGCAGCATGTAGGAGATCAGTGGACACTCGGAATCTCATACTATGCTCCCTGGCTATTATACTGGTGGATGAGCAAGTCCTGGCTCCCAACCTCCACCGTCGCCAAGGGTACAACCTACCTCCCTAACCGCCGCGATGCCGAGTATCGAGAATTCGCCATTTCCAACGGAATTCGTGAGGAGGTCTCTTAATGGCTTCATCCATTACAAATGATTTTATATTTGACCAAAGTTAATAACTCTAAATCTGTGTTCTGATATGGTTGGCAGAGGAGGAAGCTGGCAACCCAGCAAGGCGTTCAGGAGTCCTATTACAGGGATATGATGGTGATGTTTGGCAAGTGGGAATTTGATCCAATGGATCTCCAGAAACCTGCTTTTCCTGTCCATCTATGGCAAGGCGACGAGGACGGGGTCGTGCCGGTTTCTCTCCAGCGCTATATCTGCCACCGTCTAAGCTGGATTCAGTATCATGAGCTCCCCATGACTGGACATTACCTTTCTGCTGTGCCTGGATTTGGTGATACTGTTCTCAAAACTCTTCTGGCCGAGTCTTCATTTTGAATGAACTAGAGCATTGTATTGGGGGGAGAACAAAATTCTAACATTTGTAATATATGGATTTAAATGTTGCCAAAATTTTAAAATGAAACACTCTTGAGATTTGATATTAGCAACATAAACATAAAAAAAAAAATCTTGTCACCAACTAGTGGAGAAATTATTTTGTACGGACAACGGATTGTCTGGAGGCCAATAAGAATGTGCCACGTCAACCGATACATATTGGTACATAGCCGCAATATACAACAAACGGGTGACGTGATTGGTTATGGTTCACCTCTCAACGACGTCCGTATCCGCACAAACTAATTTCACCCGTTAAAGCATTTAACGCTAATGCTGCAGATATTTGGACCTAGCCGACCTGCTGGGACTTCCTTTCTTTTACCTTATACTCCCTCAAACTTTCTTCCTTCCTCTCATCAACCCTATTATCCTTTTCTCCCCAACCCACACCCAGCTGAGCTCATCTTCTCTCCACTCAACAGCACGTGAATTTCACGATAAATTATTCTGTGCGGATGCCGAACGCTGTCTGGAGACTAACCAGAATGAGCAATGTCGGTACCGCGACTCGGTGTCGTGGCTCGGTACTGCTCGAACTCCCCAAAGAGTTGAGGGTAAAATGACCTAAATTAAAGATATTTTAGCACCAGTCCCATTTTTCTTCTTTAAGCATTGCATTCTACTCAGAGGGTTATTGACAGTCTTAATGTAATTATTAAAAATTTCTTTGTACACCTAAGCATGGTGGTAGAAAAATTATTTTGGTCTAATTGGACTAAAAAATGTCGCTTGGTTTGGGAAGGGGGCATTGATGCTAGAATCTTTTTATGATCTCATTAAGTTTATATCCTAAACATTATGATTGTTGTTTAGGTTTGTTGCGGGCTAAAATAAACACGGCGATAAAGTTAGATAATTTTCGTCTCAGCGTTGTATGGATATTCAGCACACAAACAGAAGAAAAATGTAACATGCTACAGGAAAACAACATTTTTCCGACGAAAATAGTCGCCGGAAAATGACATTTTTCCTGTAGTGACACCAGAATTTTTACATTGAAACTTTGAAAAAGGAAAAAATCATGGAGTCATGCTTAGTTGAAAGGATTCAACTAGTGTTTTCTTAGATTATAAGTGGCTTATTCGTCCCTGAAATTGAGGACAATCATATTACAATAATCAACTATCCGGTTGAAATTCAATTACAAATGAAGATCGAAAATCGGCAATGTTTTATGGTCAAGCGGAAATCCGGCTTCAATTGCTATCGGGCAGAAATCCGGCGTCAGTCGGCTGTTGGACATAAATCCGGTGTTAGTCAGTTGTCGGGCATAACTCCTGCGTCAGTCGATTGCAGGGCGGAACCCAGACGGTGGTCGAGGAGGAGTTTGGTGACTAGAGAACTCTTTTCCTTCTATTCTTGCTTCATTGCTTCCTTCTCTTCTTACTTGGGTCCCCTCTCATGAGAAATGAGGGGTTTATTTATAGTTTTTTGATAGTGGCATGACCAGTAAATAAAAGGAAGATCAAGAATAAATTGGGAGTGGTTTGAATGGATGGTCGATGTGAATCCTTTGATCATGGATTGTTTACCATGCATTTGAATGTCTTAATGATATTAGAATTTGATAATATTGGGCTCGTTGGATTCGTCTCGTTGAGCCACTCAATTCAACTATAAGCAAGTCATGCTTAAAAAACTATTTGGTAATCCAAATGATGGATTGAACCTTCCAAATGTGTTTCATGTCTTTGATTTGGACTCATTTGGGCTCGAATTGAGTTGAATTTGATGTCGTTGGGTTTGTATTTCCGAAACGTTCAGTTCGGCTGTAAGTTTGCTGAAATTGGATTTCACAGTCTCTGATTTAATTTTTGAAATTTCCAAATTGATTTTGCATCGAGATTCGTGCTAAATCAACAAGATAATTTTTTGATGATATATCAAGGCTAAACTAATATCTATTGGCCAATTTTCTCCCATTGAAATACCATTACGATAAACATCTTTTTACTAATAAGAAAATTATAAATTCTCACGTATAAAATAGACCTTGAACCATTAAAAATATAGCTCAAAACTTCGTATGTATGATTTTTTTCTCGATTTGATAGGTAGATTGATCTTCTTAAGTTATTTGATATAACATATTCTCTTACCTATCCATAAGATTAACTTCTTTTTTTGAAAATGAGGCTTGGAATAAACCTTTCCTATTGGAGTATGTGCTGATTTTTTTTTTTTTTTTTTGTGAAACGGGGTACCTACACACTGTCACCCTCATAGGAGGCACATGACAGCGTAATTAATTCCTAGGCGGCGAGTGGTGGGTTGGAAACCATGCTCGCCCTGTCGCCCACGCCCAGCTAAGCCCGATGAGGTTGCCTATTGTGATATATTACTTCATGTCCTTTGTCATCTGCATTAATGAATGATGTCATCTTCTAGATTCTTTGAGAATAATCCCCTTTTTCTTTATAGAATATTTAAAAAACTAACAAACAGAAAATGCATGAAAATTTCTTGGTGCCTTTATAGAGTAGAGGCACACCTTTATATATATTCTTATGTGGATGCTCTTAATGATTTCACCCCGATGAATAATTTTCTGCCATGCAAAAGGTTCATTATAGCTTTTAAATGCAATATTATCAAAATATCGGATCTATACAACATATTTTTATATCATACAAAATTAATATTAATGCTCATATTCAATTTAGCCAATATTTTAATATTAACCCTAACAATCAACATGATACATATTAAATATTTGTACCACAAGTAGGCTAATAGTAACATCAAAACTACCAAGGGACATATTTCCATAATTTATTTTTGATAATTTGTTTGATTATATTCAAAAATTATTTTTAATGCTTATTTAAAGAGAATGACGATAGACCTTTGTGGCTAAAATAGTGGGTAACATTTTCATGTTAGTGCATTCAATATTTTGGAAGGCCTATATATCAATAAATTATTACGTGCGGTCATCGGACTGTCCGAAGATAAATCAGGATGCGTCATATCACCCGGTACATAACAGTACACAACATTGATACACAATATATGACTCACCTCTTAATGATATCCAATATTCGCACGTAATAATTTCACTTATTTATAATACTATGAGATTTGGGAAAGCCATAGCTATTTTTAACCTAATTTAAATTACTCATGCTTCTGTTGGGTCTACTGCTCTAGTTGACCTCATGTTATGTGCTTGCCCTTGTATTGGGATTGGTGTAGATTAATTTTTTGAAATCTAGTAGAATTCTGCAATGCCAAAATTTTTGTCAACTATATTTTACTTTTATTATTATTATTATTATTTTAAGATTTACCTATCAAATCAGAATTATTATTTTTTATTGTCAATGATTTAAAAAAATAGGTGGATGGGCCAATTCAATCTGCTAGCCAAATCGCTCTAGCACGCAGTGGAACCCACCAGTTCGTAATGTTATATGAAAGATTTTTTTTTTTTGGTATCAATATTCAAATTTTAATTTGAATTAAATAATTTCAGTAAATGAATTATTAAAATTTAAAAGAAAATAAAAATCCCTCGCTCTAATTATAAGATAGAGATTAAAGATATTCAATATTTTATAAACTAAATATTTTTATTTATGTTACACATTTACATCATTTATATTAGTTTTGTGCGAAATCTAATTGTGTCGATCAATCGGGTTATATTGTTGACTTATAGCTCAGTTATGTTGGTATAGCTCGTCAGGGAGTTGGAGGGAGGCCTCCTCATGCTTGGGGTTCATGTGTCTTGCCACTGAATTTTTTTTCTGTACAACCGTACAACAATGCGACACTGTACATTAAAGTGTTGTAACGCTATAAACATGTATATTGTAGTGTCATAGGATACGACGCAGTAATATTGTAGTTTTGGCTTGGAGATAAAGAGCGGAGCACTGTAGTTCTTCAGAACCAGCGCTACAAGTTTCTTTTTCATAGTGAATTTCTTGTACATTGCAGTGTCATAGGATGTGAAGCGGTTACATTGTAGGCTTGACTGTTTTCATTTTCATTTTTCATGGTTTTACTTGAAGGGTTGCTTTCTTTGGTATATTGAAAAATGCCTCTTTATTTGTTTTGACTAAAAACAAAAAGAGAAGTGAAGAGAAACAAGAAGAGAGTGAGAGAGAAATAGATTTGTACAATTTTTTCAATTTTCATAGTGAATTTCTTGGTGTGATATTGCCTCTAGTTTTGCCTTGCTTTCAGATTTTTCTACGTGTTCATTTATGTTATTATTATTTTTTTTAATTTTATTGTTTGTTTCGTTATATGGTTTACTTCACAATAGTGATTAAAATAATTTTTATATTTATTATTGTTGCAGGCTAGGATATACGTTGTTGTAGAGTGGGGATATTTTCTTCTTAGCATTAAATGGATATCCAGCACACAAACAAAAAAGATAAAACACCAAGATTATTAACGTGAAAATCCCAGATAAGGGAAAAAATCACTAGACCTTGCCCAATTCAAATGATACCACTAGTGTTTGAATGAATTACAAAGCTTTGATCTGTCCTATAATTCAAAGACGGTGAAATTACAATAATAGAGAGAGTTATGTGAAAGTCCAGTGTCGGTCGGGTGGTCGGGCAAAAAATTTGGTGTCGGTTAGTGGTCGGGCGAAAGTTCAACGTCGATCAGTGGTCGGGTGAAAGTCTGGCATCCGTCAGTGGATGGGCGGAATTCCGGAGTCGATCGATGGTTGGGCGGAAGTTCGACGACGGTAGACAATTGGGCAAAAGTCTGACGTTGATTGGTGTAGGGCGGAAGTATGATGACAGTCGATAGTCAATTGGAAGTCTGACACTGATTAATGGTCGGACGGAAGTTCGACATCCCTCGATGACCATACAAGAAATTGCAAAACTATCAATATCATGGAAGAATCATTCACCAAGTCTAAAACTTCAACTCATAGTCTCTTATGGTTATTTTCCATGTGGGGAAATGGGTTTCATTGGTCTCTTTCTCATGATATCTCAATTGAGGCATTTTTTTTTGTATTAGTTGATTATTTTATAAAGTGAGTAGAAAGACGAGTATTTGGTCCTTCAA